GAAGAGTGTCGACGGGGAAGATGAGGCTGTCGAGGGAGGTGCGGTGGGCAATGGACTGGATCTGGGAGACAACAGCCTCGTAAGGCATAGGGGGTGGAACTTCAAGAGCCTCGACACCCTCGGGCAATGCCTCGCCTGCCTCAATGAGGCGCCACACCTCTTGCTTCTGCTCGGTCTCAAAGTGGATCTGGTTGATGAGATTCTCCCACGTCTCTTTGATGGTGTGCGGGTTCTGGTAGTCCGCGGCGTTGTAGATGAGCAGGCAAAGGTCGTAGTAACCGGCCTGATCAGCGAAATCGTTGAAGAGCTACATGGTACAGATTAGCAACTAAACTAGGATTGTACTTTTAGGGAATGACTCACAGTAGAAAGGCCCTGGACAGGACCATCCAGAACCTTCTCGATGTCAGGGAGCTTCTCAGGTACTATGCGAGGATCGGCCCTTAATCTTTCAAGCAAATCGTCCTGGATGTGGGCGATTTCCAGAAGCTCAGTCACTTCGTGGTTGAGAAGCTGCTGTTGCTGGCGGCTCACACCGACAGTGGTGACGCTAGCGTTGGCCTTTGCTCTGCTCAACAAGGTAATGCGTTCCTTGATGCCAAGGGGGAAGTCTGACTTGGCGAGCTCAGCCTGCACTTGAGCGGCCTCGAAGAAGCGGCTGCGTTGTGTGTAGAACCGGCAAAGAAGATCGGCGTGCTGAGCATCAATCGCAGCGAGTCTCTGCAGGTATGTTACGACATGAGGAGAGTCGATGGCCAACATGCGGTCGGTCCATCCCTTCTCAATGTACCAGTCGTACAAATCAAGGTGGAAGACCTCGTCCTCCGAGCTATTGACGACGCTGTATGCCTCCGCCCGCTTGGTGACAGCAAGAGTTGGCCTACCGTCAACAACATCGGGCTCCGAGGCCGACTCAATGTCTAGCCGGTCAAGCACCTCGTGTATCAAGGAATAGCAACTTTGCCGGTCCTTGAAAGCCTTTTCACGGGGGTCGTTAGCCGGCTTGCCTTCGTTGAACCAAGCAAGGGCCGCGTTTCCACGGTCCTTCTCTCTCGCAACGATCAAGCACAGCTGGATAGCGCCAGCATAATACTTCAAATTGATGTACTGCTCGACCGCATTGCGCAGGTTGGTCATGGTCAGGCTTCCCGCGACTTGGGAAAACAATCGCAAGCTCTCCGCAAGCAAGGTGCGCATCAGGTTAGGATTGCCCGTCGACTCGCTGGCCCGCTGCAGTTGTTCTTGAGCCTTGAAAATGACAACGTCATCAGGGGAGCAGAAAGTGCCGCATCTTCTCCTGAGTGCATCGGCAACGGTCTCGACATTGGCTCCGTTGGCAATATTGCGGTTAACAATAGCTTTCACCAGAACCTTGGCGAGCTCCTTTCCAGAGTCCTGAGAGAACAAAGCTTCATAGGTAAGGTTTTGCAGCTGCTGCTTAGACGAATCATCTAGGCGCATGAAGATGTCGGTTACCCGCTCATCGAACAGCATCAGGACGAAAGAGATGCCCTCAGACACGCTGTCCATAAGCTGACGCAGAGCGTGAAGAGACTGGTGCTCCAGCTGCAAAGCAATTTCCTCTTGTCTGCTAGAAACCCGATCGGAGGGTCCGGCCAGGCCCTGGATGAGACTTTTGTTTTCCTCAAGGAATCTCCTTAGTCGTTGCACACTTTCCTGTACCGTCATGAGCTTGGAGATGGGAATCGCCGAGCCAACAGTGAACCCGCCCGAAGCGCTATCCGTGGCTATCTCAATGACCTTGGACTTCCATAGGGTGCGGGTGAGGCGCGCAAGATAGAGCACCAGCGCATCGTGGCGAGCCGAGAGCTGTACGTTGTCCTCCGGTGCCTGCAAGACATCTGCGTCCGCAAGCTTGGGCTGACCACCGTAGTTGATAAAGATAGACCGCGCCCGGTCCTCAGTGAGAGGATCCACAGCACGACGGGCGTCTCCTCCCTGACCACATGCTACCGCCAAGGCAGCCGCGACCATTTCGACCCTGCCGTAGATGGCCGTGAACGTTTTAACCTTGCTGTCCAAATCCTCATCGCCAGATGCAACACGAATCGCATTAGCGAAGATGTCAACAAACCTCCTGCGGCGAACGATATGGATACCGGTGTTGGTGAGCACAGCAAATTCGCTTGGGGTATGGTCGAACTGAACAGCTAGTTCGTTGCCAAATCCGAGCGGTTGCTTTGCAGCCGCAAAAGGCTTGCCAGTAAGACCGATGGAAAGAACTCGGCTTCCGTCACCCAAGGGGATGAAAGTACCTTGCTCAACATATCTGAGTACAGCGCTTTGCTTGAGTCTGCCGACATCGGGGGCTGATACAAAGAGCAGATCCGTGCGACTCTCTTTGGGGCGAACCGCGTCGAAGAAATAACCCGGAGGAAAACGTTCACCCAGGCAACTTTCCGAAAGTAAGCCAGACATTTGATCTTGAGCTGCTGCAGGTGCAGGTGCATATGCAACTGCAGTGTTGATCTCGTTGCGGAGGGGAACCTGCTGGTCTTCGCTCGTAGGAGGAAACTTGATGTATTGGACCTGCATGCTCTGAGGAGCAAGGCTGGTTGAGGCGCTCAGCATGTAGGATGCCGCGCTTGTTGCAGTAAGGAACAAACGGCATCCGGTGTTGGTGAGTGCCATGAGGTGAGACTTTGAGGCCTCTTGTGCCGAGATGGCGCTAAGAGAGACGATTCTCACTCTCTCGTTGAGCAAAGGGTTTCTGTTCAAGTCAACCATATGCGTCATGTCACTAAGGCACGAGACCTTGTTCTTTTCGATGACTTTTGTCAGTTTCCCAGAGGGCTCCATGAAGTATGTTCGAATGGTGGACTTGTCCGAGAGCGAGTATAGGAGTTTCCGAGTATCATCGACAACCAGCTGAACAAGGTGTTCCTGATCACGGTGGCCCAAGAAGCCCATTGGCACTGGGAGGTTAGGAACAACTGATGTCCAGCCGGGGTGTGTGTGGTTGACCTTGGCACATCTGCTAGAGAACCAGCGCTCCTCCTGCTGGTAAAGGAGCTCGTAGATGTCGGTATCGGTATAACCGCCAAAGAAGATACGGCCGTTCGAGGTACCGATGATTAAGCTGACATCGGTGCTTCCGCGATGTACTGCCATTTTTGTTTGGTAGAGGGCGACAGTCTTCGATCCCGAAGGGGTAGGTGTCGCGGATACGCCCAGCAAAACTATCTCGGTGCCCGTAGCAACGACTAGAATATGGGTGATGTTACTAACGAACACGCCAGGCTTGGGGGGCACTAGGGCAACCGCGGTGATGGTGGTGGTGGCATCCTCGTAGCCGATAAGTTCGGGGTTTGGGTGGGTATAGTCCCAGAGAAAGAGGGAGCTGTCGATAGCAGCCCACGCGTAGTTGATGTCGGCAAATAGGCCGAGTTGCGTGTTGACCTCTCCCCTGTTTAACCGCTCAAAGACTTGATCGGGGATGGGATACATATGAGTCTTCTTAAACGGGGCGCCGGGCGCGTCATCAGTCCTGTACATGTCATAGTCCGAGGAGGAGCCAGCTATATGGGAGAGACATGGTTAGCCAGTCCTACCAGGTACCATGAGGGATGGAAACCTAAACAGGTAAGCTCACCTCTAGCATAAGAATCAACGTCGGGGTAGTTCTCGTCACGTAGTAGGGTATTGGTGATGCGCCGCGCGGCCTTGGCAACCGGTGGTAGATCTGTGCGAGCTTGAGCTGGCACCATTGGAACAGGCACCTGCGAGACGGGACGAGGAGCAGCAACAGTTCCAGCACCGGCGCCGCCAACGGAGCCAGAAATGGGCCCAGTCACGGGTCCGGAAGCAACTCCGGCACCACCAGCATTGTAGGACCCGAACCCTCCTAGCGCCGGCCTCGCAGTGTTCTTTTCAGGAAGCGAGTCCAAGTAGCGTCGAGCATCATCGGTCCTGGGCGCAGCGGGCGTGTTGAGGAATGCACCGGGCACTTGGCGCATAGGTGTGGCTGGATTCATGATGGCGGATATGTGATGCTAACACCCGACAGGACGATGGTGGGATGGCAACGGGATGGTTGTCGGTGCCACCTGCAAAAAGCGGTTCAGAGTTCGTCGCGAGCGTCGAGGGGAGGGGAAGCTCCAGAACGAGGCGGATGGAGGCTGATGGAAATCTGGCGTCGGCACAAGTTGGAGCTCCAAGGGTGCAGCGTGATCTGGCAGCTTCGTGATTCTCCGCGCTGTGATGCTGTGTTGTCGCTCTTGCTCCGTTTGCCCTCTTGCTTCAGGTCTCCCAAGTTGGTTGGTTGGTTGGTTGCTTGAGGTCACAAAGTCGAGAGCGCGGTGCTCGCTGCAGTCGGTGGGTGTACTGCTACAATTGCACCACCATGAAAGAAGGTCTGGGAATCCAGGGGAAGCTATAAAGTCCGACACGATGCGACGTGGTCGAGGATCGGCGACCACAGCTTGAGGTGAAAGCGTTTGGGTTGTTGTTGTGGTGTTGAGAGCAAGGAAGCTCTGCGCGCGATTGGGCAATCACTGTCGAAGGTGGACTGTGGATGAACAGCAGAAGATTGAAGAGGCTGGCCCGCTCCGGCGGGCTACCGTAAACAATTTTTGGCTGGAGAACTGGGACAGCGGTACGTACCGCGACCGGGCAGGAATCATTGGTGCCCAGGGCGTTCGTTTCGCGGCTGGCAACTGGGACCTGCGACCTGCGACCTGAAACGCGAATTTTGGACGCGCCTGTGTGCTGGAGCATGGAGTTGGAACACAGAAGAGGCGCTAACCTCTTTTTGGAAGCATGTTTTTCTACCGCCTATAAAATGTCGAAACCGTCCAATCATCGTCGAGAACGTCATCGACTGCCCGTCACCAGAAGTCGGATTTGCAACTCAGAATATCAACGGCAGACAGCAACTGCTCTTGATCTATACCCAAAAAAAAAGTATTATGCAAGAATATGGTTGCTTCATGATCATCGTTCAATTATCATCTTCTGACTTTTCTGTACATTCCACTCACATCATGAATTCGTCTGCTAGAAGCGGGGCGCAGTTCACCATTTTTTCTACAACAGATACACGGTCCCAAGGGTGGGTGTACCGCAGGCTAATAGAAGGTGTCTACTGGCTAGAGCCCATCACGCCATAAGTCCATGCTCCTTCCTAGCTTCACGTGAGCAGCATGGTAGCTAGAAGCTGCGACATGCGCTTACTGCTTCTTGGCTTCACGAGCGGCCTTGCGGAGAGCGCGGTTGCGGATGTCGATGTGCATGTTCTTGTTCAGCCTGAGGGTAAAGTAGCTGTAGACACCAACGGTGTTCTCAACAACCCACTTGAACATAGCATGGCTCCACCAGGGGGTGTAGGTGTTGGGAAAGGGCTCGGAGCTGTTAAGGCCAACCTTGCCGAGAGCAGCGCGGACGAACTGCTTGGGGTTGGGGATGAGGAGGCTGGTGCGGCGGATCTTGCTCATGGCAGTGGTAACGAGGTAGCTGACAACAAGGTGGACATCGACGCCCTGGTCCTTGAGCTCGGCAGAGAGAGCGCTGCTCCAGTGCTGGAGGAACGCCTTGCTGCCACTGTAGGTGGCAAGGTAGGGGGTGGGCATAACACCGGCGAAAGAGCCCATGGTAAGGATAAGACCCTTCTTGCGCTGGGCGAGGATGGGAGCGACAACCTTGGTGGTCTTGAGTGTGCCGAGGCAGTTGATGGTGACAATGTTCTGGAGCTCGTCGCGGTCGGTCTGGAGGAAAGGAACGGGGATGCTGTGGGACTGGCCAACGTTGTTGATCAAGATACCAATGTCGAGGCCCTTGATGAGCTCGGCGAGACGCTCGTAGTCGGAATCGTCGTCCTTGGAGAAGTCCATGGCGAAAGTCTTGGCCTTGAAACCATCCCATCTGAGCTCGAGCTCCCTAGCAAGGACATCCAGCTTGGACTGAGTGCGAGAGACGAGAACGAGGTTGAAGCCCTTGGAGGCGAGCTGCTGGGCGAACTCCTTTCCGAGACCATCGGAGGCACCAGTGATAACAGCCCAGGTGCCCTTCTTGCCATACTTGCGGAGCTGTTAAGGTTTATGTTAGCTGCATTCACCTGAATATCTTCAATCCCGAGTAAGTTTGCCGAAAGACGTACGTTGGTGCCGCTCAGGATGAAAGCGTTAAGGAGCAGCTGGAGGAAAGCGCCGACGCGAGTAGCGACGTAAAGGGCGCCGATGCCAGCAAGGGCCCATTGGCCATATTGAGGGACAGTGCCCCAGATCTCGGCAACCTTATCCATTGCGTACGGACTGTCGGCGAAAGTCGATGATGATGGAACGCCTTTGGTTTGGATCGGGGAGTTTTGACACTTTCAAAGTTGGGTCCGGCCGCAAATAAATGTTGGGAACTTTTTGGGGGACCTGGGGTCGACTCGCCTACACTGGACTTGCATGTGTCAGCCGCCAAGATTTTCGAGACGTCCCGCCCCGCGGCCCCGGCGAGAGGACCTGGGCAGCTGGGCTCTCCCCGCTTTTGCCGAACCATCAATCACTCGACGCCGCCATTGAACTCCGACGGAGCTGGCCATGGGCCAATGGATTGAGGAAAAGGGGGAGCCTGGCGGAATTTGTTTGTTGTCTCCAAAATGTCGTCCAATGCCTGTGGACCTGCGTCCATGATGCTACGATGACCCCTGTCTCTCGCGCTTGAGAGTGGCCCGAAGTGTGGTTTCCATCCGATCCTCGAGCCGCTGGAACAAATGGAGAGCTGCAACAGGAAGGGCAACTAACAACTCAACCACAAAAGGTCTTCTCAATACAAATATCCTGGACTTACGATAGCTTTCTTCCCCAACGACAAACCGCTTCATAACTGTTGGAACTAATGGACGCTATCAAGGCTTTCCTGCCTTCGGGCGAGAAGGGTCTCCTTCCCTATTACCTCTTCTTCGTAAGTTGACAGTTGCTGGTCCTCCTGACTCTTCACATAAGTAGTTTCGCAATTAACACGCCCTTCGTCCAGGTCTCCATCGTAGCTATGGGAAACGCCCTCCAAAACTACACTACTCTCCACTACACGCGACGCCTCTACAATGGCCGCTTCGTCCCCAACCCTTCCCTGCCGCCCGCAAAGGGCAAGTTCAGCCCGGAGGACAGCGTGGACGTGCTGAAGTCCGTCTCGCCCTCAGAGGCGGAGAAGAAGGGGGCGGCTGCTAAGGACCAGGTCACGCCGCTGGCGGCCCGCGTCTTCGGCACCTACACCTTTATGGCCGGCATCATCCGCTTCTACGCGAGCTACAACCTCGAGAACGAGTCGTTGTACAAGCTCGGTATCTGGACCCATGTCATCGCCGCCGTGCACTTTACGAGCGAGTTCTTCATCTACAAGACGCTGCGTTTCAGCGGACCTCAGATCTTCCCCTTCTTGGCGGCGTATGGCGGTACGTTGTGGATGGTGTTGCAGTATGGTTACTACGTCCAGTAAAAGACAGGTGCAGCTACCAGCTGGTCTTTGGGAATTAAAGGAGGAAGCAGTACATGGCCCCTAAAAAGGAATGGCGAGTGGATCATGACCATAAGGAGCGCGATCGCGTATTAGGTGAAATAAGACTCCGACGTTAGGCTTTGTGGAAGCTGTACTACTAATTAATACTCTTTTCTGTCAAGAAGCGAAGCAAGCGCATCATACAATTCCACTACCTACTGCAACGACTTGCGATAGAGCTCGCCACCGCAGTCTCTGAGTCGCGCAGCCGCTTGCTCCGGAGTGATATCCCTCTGCGGCTCAGCCATTAACTCGTACCCGACCAAGAACTTGCGCACGGTAGCAGACCGAAGAAGAGGAGGGTAGAAATGCATATGGAACCAGCTCGTCTCAGCCTCTTCCTCTGTGCAATCCAACGGCGCCTGATGAATACCCGAGCCTTCTCATATCGTTAGCTCTTTTCCCCCTTTCTCTCTCCTTCGGGCAGTTGCAGAGGTAGTAGAACTTACTATACGGAAAGTTTGTCTCAAACAAGTTATCATATCTTCTCGTAACCTCCTGCACTGCCTCGGCAAACTGCAGCCTCTCCTCGCTCGTAAGCTCCACCAGCGCGCGCACATGTCTCTTCGCAATGACGAGCACCTCAAACGGCCAGACGGCCCACCAAGGACAGACCACCAAGAACCCGTCGTTCTGCCAAACCACACGCTCGCCCTTGGCCATCTCCACCTTGACGTAGTCCTCCAGCAGATGCCTCCCCTTGTGCTCACGGTGGTACTTGGTCATCTGCGCCAGCTCCTTGCCCGGCTCCTCGGGCAGCGTGCTCGTCGTCCAGATCTGGCAGTGCGGATGCGGGTTCGAGCAGCCCATGGCCGCGCCCTTGTTCTCAAAGATCTGCATGTACCGCAGCTGCTGCTTTTTCGCGGGCTCGACTTCGCCGTCCGGGTTAGGTGGAATCTCGCTGAGCGAACGCGCGGCGGCGTCCCTGAGCGGATGCGAGGCAGACAGGTGGCTGGCATAGATGCGCGTCCAAGTCTCGATCACGGGTACGATCTCGGTCGCGCTCATGTCCGCCAAAGTGGTGTCGTGCTTGGCGGAGAAGGTGAGCACGTAGCACCGGCCTGTGGCGGGCTGCGCTTGCAGGAGGAGAGAGGCAATGTCATCGTCGCCGTCACCGGCGGCGTCCTTCTGAGGGTGATACTCTTGCTGTTCCTCTTTGACGGCGCTGTAGTCGTTGACGAAGGCGAATGTGTTTTTGTAGTGCGGGTTGGAATCGCCTTGGGCGCGCTTGTTGCCGGGGCAGAGGTAGCACTGGGTTGCAGTTAGAGTGAGTGAGAGTAATATAAAGTCATAAAGGGACGGGGATTACGCACATGGGGATCAAAATCAGGAAGCTTGTTGAGGGCTGGAGCCTCTTGCTGTCCTCTGGTTATAATTCGTCAATTCAAATCCGCCTTATTTCTTCCTTTCCGGTGTGGCTATCGAGGACTCACTGCCATGGCCTCTTTGTCCTGTGAGGCGATACAAGCAGCCAAGAGCCGTTGAGCGGGTTGTAGCGACGATGCGAAATGTCGTCAAGCACTTTGTCGGTCATGGTTGCGTTCCAGGAGGCTTCGAGGAAATAATTATGTGGGAATTAGCAAAGAAGGCATGTGATCAAACAAAAGGCCGTCGGTTGAAAAATTAATGTTCTTATAAGTGAGGTGTTCAAGGATGTAGATTGGTGGTTGGTGTTTTCCACTTTTGTAGTGTCATATGCTCGGGGATAGCATCCCCGAGGCAACCTGGTCACACTTACCGGATTGTTTTTATGGGTACAAAGGCCGGGTAGCAGACAAGATGAAAATGATCCGATCTGTTCGGTGTTCTTCGGCCTTATTGCCTAGAAGCACCCTACAGATCAACGGACCGTTTATTTAGAGGAATGAAGTCGCTTGCCTGATAGTGATACACTGGCTCAGACTGGTGTGCAACCTTTGATGAGCATTCGAACTCGCTTCTTTCCCGAGTTTTCTGAGGCGCAAAAGGCACTGGCATTATCAGACAGCAGCCTGCATCAGGATGAAATTCATATTCCATGCGTACCTAGGTACCTACTTCAGCTACTGCACTGTTATGGAAGTGTGGAGGGCTACCTCTAAGCTGCTTCAGCCTCCAGTTTGCCCGGAGAAACAGGGTGAGCGACTGGACGTCAATTGGGATTCACCGTATCGTGTATACCCACGCACTGAAATACTGCAAGATCTGATGCTCTTCAGAGGATAAGCATACAAGGGGAGCTGAGTTAGTTACAATACGGGTGAAAACATGGCAAAATTTATAGGAACAAAAACATCACCACCATGATCCCCAATTCGCAAGCAAATGTCCCCTCGTTGGTCGTTACCCCTCACCATTATTTACCAATGGAAGCAACCCCGCGTCTAAACAAGTTCTTGTGGGGCTCCTCCGCACCAGGGGCATGATGTTAGTGGAGCGGCTGCACTCGCTCCATGCTTCGCTGTGCGCCAACTTGACAAGGGACTTCGATCCATCAGTCAGGCACACTACGTACCACCTTGTATGGGTGTAGCAGATCTGACAGACGGCGAGCTTGAAAGTTGACTGACCGTTCTGCCAGAATTTGTTGCAGGATATACCTTGGTACTCTGCCGCCCGATCTCTGATGGGTGATATCCTTTGTTCGTCAAGCTCACCGTTCCTTTGTCTACAGTACATGGTACGTAAGAAAGTAGCTACGGGTTAGGGTTGTGCCGTAGAAGCGGCAACTCGGGACAACGTCGGAGCCAGAATGACGTGGAAGTGGGCTTCCAGCTGGAGCCACCTGTCCGCTCATTGAGATGTTGCATTATGGAAATGCAGCCCCTGGCCCTGCTCGTTCCAGGCGCGTCACCCCCTCGTACAACCGCAACATCGTCGCCATCAAGGTCGTCGACATAAGTCCATCGACAACTCGCCATCAGCCACCTGGTTCATCAATATACGGCATTACAGAAGCCTCGCGAACCTCTGCGCTTTCTGTCAATGCCATCTATGGGGCTTTCAGCGGTGGATTTTGGCCTACATTAACCCCCTTTCTGACTTCTCACGCCCGGCGCATTATCGGATTATCCTAACCCCCGTCCCTCGGGGACATCCACCATGGGCGTCATCCGTAAGAAGATCGCTGCACGAGGTGGCGAGGGCGGTGTCAAGTATGTATGCGACGTCTGCTCAGCAGACATAACGTCTACGGTAGGTTTGTGTTTTCATATAGTTAACAAGCCTCAACCGTTGTTCTCGTGCTTGGACGTTCATATCTCCCTTCCGATGCGGCCGCTACCGCTGCCCCAGACCTCGCGTCGCGCGAATCACGAGACGTTGTGGGGTTGGGGAACCTCTTTGGACTCCAGCCCTCTGGCTCCCAACAACAACAACAACAACAAGCCAGCTAATCTTTCCACTTCGCACAGGTCCGAATTAGGTGTGCACACAGCGCTTGCAATGAATATGATCTCTGTGTCCAATGCTTTGCGCAAGGAGCGTCCAGCAATGCGCATCAGCCGCAAACCCATCCCTATCGAGTAATCGAACAGAACTCGTTTCCGATCTTCGACCGAGAATGGGGCGCGGACGAGGAGCTCCTTCTTCTGGAGGGCGCGCAGATCTACGGTTTGGGTTCGTGGGCCGACATTGCGGACCACATCGGCGGCTACCGAAGTAAGGATGAGGTACGCGACCACTATCTCCAGGTCTACGTCGACTCGCCCAACTTTCCCCTCCCGAAACGATGCAGTCCCCATGACATGGAACTGGCAAACGAGATCTCTAGAGAAGAATTTCAGGCGCGCAAGAAGCGACGCATCGAGGAAAGGAGGGAAGCCGCTAAGAACGCCCCAACCCTCCAAGCGAAGACGAAGCCGACAGCCAGTGTTCCATCGTGCCACGAGATTCAAGGATATATGCCAGGACGCTTGGAGTTTGAGACCGAGTTCTGCAACGAAGCGGAAGAGGCTGTCCAGCTCATGCAGTTCGACCCAGGAGATGGAATTAACCCACGCACAGGCGAGCTGGAACCGGAGATGGAGCTCAAACTCACCGTCATGGAGATCTACAACTGCCGGCTGACGCAACGAGTCGAGAGGAAGAAGGTTATTTTCGAGCACAACCTGCTCGATTACAGGGAAAACACAAAGTCAGAAAAGAAGAGGTCGAAGGAGGAACGCGATCTTCTGAACAAGGCGAAACCCTTTGCGCGGATGATGAATCGCGTCGACTTTGAACAATTCTGTCAAGGGTTGATTGACGAGCTCAACCTGCGGCAGGCAATTGCACAACTACAGGAATGGCGTAGTCTCCGGATTGGTGATCTACGAAGCGGCGAGAAGTATGAGCAGGAGAAGCAGGCACGAATTCAGAAATCAATACCGCTGGGTTCCATGGACCGCGAACGACTGGCGAGTGCTCAGCGCAGCAAACAACCGCCACCACCAGATCCGCCAAGTGGCGCGGCTCTGCTGGTTCAACCTGAGCTGCCGGCGCGTATGCAGTCACCTCATGTCATCGCCGAGGCCGAGAAACTCTGCAGCATGAAAGTGGAACCCGGGCAAGTCAACAGTGAAAGTGTAATCGTTGCCAATGGCGACACTACGCCGTCAAAACACAAGTCCTTACCACAACCTGTTCCCGGGATACAACCTCTTTTACTCTCTCAGGACAATGCTCCCGACCTTCACCTCCTTACGCCGGAAGAGGTCAAGCTGTGCGAGGTGCTCAGGATTCAGCCTAAGCCTTACCTGATGATCAAAGAGCAGATCCTCAAGGAAGCCGTCAAGGGCAACGGGAGTTTGAAAAGGAAACAGGCTAAGGACATTTGCAGAGTCGATCAGCAGAAGGGAGGGAGGATTTTTGATTTTATGGTGAATGCGGGTTGGGTGGTCAAGGCTTAGAGGACCTGACCAGTCTCGAGCACTACTGGGAGCAAGGGTTGGACGGGTGGGTGCTTTTGATTTCTACGTGATGAGCGTTGGAGCCGGGCGAACGAATTTTACTTCAATAAGACAACGGCGTTTGGGACGGGAACGAATGACGAGTGCCAAAAGGGATACCCTCATACACACGCTGGTCGGAGAGGGCGTTTCCTTGTAAAGCTCTTTGGAAAGACCGAGTCGGCATACATCCATATCATATTCACATTTGTACATAGTATGTCTTTGGTTTACCATAATACCATTTAACTCTTTTGCTGGAGCGGGACTACATTCTAGATTACTGATCTAATTTTCTCTTTCCTTCTACACCGACGCCTGCCTGTCTTGCTCCTCCGGCTATAGTGGAGGAAGTGGCGCGTCATGTTTTGCCGCACAATATAATACCATCTCTTGCTACGACTCCCATGGCGAAGCCCATATGTCCTTGACTATGTCATCAGGGCGCCTCCTCAATACATTTCCCGGCCACATGCGCCGCACATCAGGTCGCGACGTTCAAAATGGCCTGGTTACTGATTACTATCTCTCAAAACTGTGTATCGACCAAAACACCGTCAAACAGCCTTGTTCAGTGTTCTTCAATGCGAGGCCTCCGGTCGACCATTGTCTGGGATCCGGGCCATGGGTTGGTTACACAGCTTTTGCTGATGTGCTGTCTGTGCATCGAGCGAGAATCTTACATCCGAACAGTCAAATCGCCATACCGAACACGCACATCGCATCGGGTCGCAAGAAGGGAGTCGCTAAGCGCCTAACATCGATTTGTTGGGGGGCAAAAAAAGATGAAAACCGAAAGACATTTAACCGTAACAATACATGCGCCATTGTTGGACGGATGGGTAGTAAGCGGTTACCTACGTATGTTGAGGTTGTTGGTTCTTTCTCATATACTAACAATTCAAGGAAGACTTATGGAACGTCAATAGAAATAAGTCAGATGTGAAGAAAGATATCTGGATACTCACCTGCATCGAGGAAGAAAGACGATCTTTTTAGTTGGCGCGCATGACGAAACAAGGTCATGGATCTTGATGGAAAGGCCGTCTTTTCAGGTCTCAAGTATCCTTAGCATCATTTCTGTTCCTGATACCGCTCGCTGTTCCAGAAAATGTTCCGGGCTTTTCTTGAAACGTTTTTGGGTCCGGGAGCCGGGTTAGATCGGTCTGCCCTATGAAAATCGCTTCTTTTTTCCACACGGGATCTTGGCCCAGGGGAAATGAGACTAAGATGAACGTGTGTACATACATAGTGTACGTATGTATGTATTAGGGCGTGTTCCATTCGTCGTTTTTTAGCGTTTTCACCGGGTGAAAAGACCCGGTGAAAATCGTGTTCCCCGAGTGGCATGGACAACTTTGTACCTTTTTACCGGATTATACCGTCCGTGTACGTTTTTGTAACTTAGTAAAAAGAAAATCCCTGCTTTTTGATATTCTAGCCAATTAGAGTGTAAAACTATTTTTTTACCGGGTGAATAGAAAAATCAGTATTTTGCAAGTCGTAACTGGGTAGATTTTTGCAAATTTTAGTGCCTAAACTTGCTACCCCTAATATATAGTATAATTTCAATACTATATATACTATAAATACTGTATATTACCCCCCTTAACACCCCCTAGATATAGTGTATATTTACTAGAATTGCCGCAATTATAGTACGCAAGTATAAAGTGTGTATATATATTATTTTATTTCTAACTATTATTATAGTAATATAGTCGGGTTCCTAGCTCGTTATAAACCTTAATCCCTTAAAGGGAATTTTTATTATTAAAGACCTTTTATTTAGGTATTAGGGTCGATTGCAATTATTTATCCATATACGAATAAATATAGTATTTACTTTAATTATATAATTTTAATATAATATTAAACTATACGGGGGGAGGAGGTTGTAGGTAGACGAGAAGGTTATAATCTTATTAATAATATTATAGGGTACTATTTATTAATTCTTAGGATAGGTTGTTAGGTAAAGTACTACTACTATATATAAATTAGTTTTAAAGTCCTATTAAAGTTTAGTAATTTATATTTACTTCGATTCTCTATATAAATAAGGCCTTTTATTAAGTATTGTTATAGGGCTGGCGCCCAAGGGTGTTTACCTGGCTAGCACCCGTATAAATTAGGTATGCCTTCTAATTAGGTATATTGGCTAATCGGCTATCGGCAGCCGTCTTAGCGCTAAATGTACTACGTACTATTGGGTATATCCCTCAGGGCGCCGCACGGGCTATATTTCTAGCCTTAATATTCTTAGTATTTCTAGTACCTTTAATACCCACCGTATTTCATATATTTAGCTAGAAGCTTTGTACTAGTAGGGTATAGACTTCCCTCTTCCTTTTTATTAGTTATTTCAAGCTCTTTTTAAAGCCTACTTACGTATATACTTTATAGATCCCTTATATTATAACCGACCCTCTTCTTAATTACCCTCTAACTCCCTTAAGTAGTTTCTAGTATATTCACCGCCGTCCTAATTATTAGAACCTTCTAATTGCTTAAAGAGTTCTCTAACTATTAACTTTTTTTTTTTACTTTACCGTACTATATTATAGCTTCGATTCTTTAGGCTTAGAACGCTAGCGAGTGCTAATAATAATTTATTACTACTATTTAAATTCTTATTAATAAGTTAGTTATATTAAAAGCTTTTATTAGGAGTTCTAGTACTACCAAAGGCTCCAGCTAACTGAAATCCGTTCTATTGTATTTTAATAAATTTATAGGCGATAAAAAGAAATTTAATATATAGATTTATACGGCCGAGGCTAAATTTTATATTAATAGCCGTACTATTAGTAATTTAGAGGCCTAATTCTACTACTTCTATTCTAGCCTTTTACCGGCCGTCCGTCGGACTTTATTCGCCTTCGCCTAATCTTCTCTAACCAACCGGACTCTAGAAAAACTATTTAAAAAACTTTAGTTTAATTACAGCGAAGTTAATTAGGATAAAAAAGCGGGCCTCGAACTCTTTTCTTTATAGTAGAAGTTCTAGGAATTTATTTCCTACTTTCTTATTCGTTTTAAGGAAGTCCTTTATACAATTAAAGTTAATATATAGTTAGATTAAATTATTATTAATTCGTTAATATCCTCTTAAATAATAAATAGTTTAAGTACTTCTATAAATAATTAAAAATTCTAAATAATTACCCGGAGATTTATAACTTCCTTTAGTATTTAGATAGTAATAATCTTCTTAAGGGGAGTAGTACAAAGTACTTTAAGAGTTTAAATTTTAGTACCGCTATTTATATTAATAAAGAGAAATCGATAGATATTACTACTACCCGGATTAGGGGTTTTAGCGGCCCGTTGGATACTTAATAGAAGAGGTAGAAGAAGAAGGGTACTTATATAATTTATAGTTCACTTTCCTATTAGATTAAGGATTATAAGTAGAAGGTTTAAATTTAGTACGTCCGGGTTGCTTTAGAGTTAGTTAGGAGTTCAAAGGAAGATAATAAAATTAATAATAATAATAATAAGTATTAAAGTATAAATATTAATTTAATAAAATCCGAAAGGCGCTAAGGCTTCTAATAAGAATTATATATTATCGGGCTTTGGAAATTCCCGGCCTAAAAAGGCCGTACGTACTTTATTTATACGTTAAATAGTAGCGAATTTTATTAAAAATATATATATTAAATATTATTATAGGATAATAATAATTATAATATATAGGTAAAAGTAGGGCGATAGTCTTTATAATTAGATGGAATTGAGTATAATAGGGCTAGGGCTTTCGGGGTCCTAGGAGGTTTAGAAATACCCGAAGTACCCAGCCCGGTATAGTAGTTATTATATAATTTAGAGGTATAATTAATATTAGTATATATATAAATAATAGGTATTAAAGTAATTAATAGAACTTTCCTAGGGAAATATACTTTATTCTATTATTAATTATTTATTTAATTATTTTCTATTATAAAAACCTAGGTAGTAAGGAGTTGGGAGTATTCGGGAGTACGCTAGGGGTATTAGAGCGCTTAGATTCTTTTTTGTATATAGTATTTTGAACTATTTTTTAGAGGGAGAGGTAGGAAGTAATATTACAAGGTTAGCGCCTAGGGGTATTTACTTAGCTAATACTTATATAAGTTAAGTATACTTTCTAATTGGGTATATTAACTAATTAGCTATCGGTAGCTGTCTTAGTACTAAATATACTACGTACTATTAAATATATCCCTCAGGGCGTTGTATAAGCTATATTTTTAGCCTTAGTATTCTTAGTATTTTTAATACCTTTAATACTTACTATATTTCATATATTTAGCTAGAAGCTCTATATTAGTAGAGTATAAACTTCCCTCTTCCTCTTTGTTAGTTATTTTAAACTCTTTTTAAGGCCTACTTACGTATATACCTTATAGATCTCTTATAAGTACTAAAGGCTTATATTAAATTTACTTAATCGAAGATTAGACTCCCTCTTTTATATACCCTAGTAAAGGTTGAAACGAGCCTAAAGTTATATTCCTACTTTAATAGAGTATTAAGTGCTCTTAATAATTTTTATTTCTTTATAAAGGTAAGTAATAATAAATAACCTATTTAACGAACCTATAAGAGTAGATTTTTAATAAATATTATACTTATATATAATTTTAATAGCTATATTATATTTACTCTACTAGGATATAAGGGTTCTATATATAATAATTAAATCTTTAGTACTTCGCTAGCGTACAACTTCTTATTATAGGGCTGGCGCCTAAGAGTATTTACCTAACTAATACCCGTATAAGCTAAGTATACCTTCTAGTTGGGTATACTAGCTAGTCGGTTGTCGGTAGCCGTTATAGTACTAAATATATTGCATATTATTAGATATATCCCTCGGGACACCGTACGAACTATATTTCTAGCTTTAGTATTCTTAGTATTTCTAGTACCTTCGATACTTATTATATTTTATATATTTAGTTGGAAGTTCT